GAATAGAAGAGGAAACGAAACTTACCGTGCCTTTTGTTTTGACTTGAAGGAGGAGAATCAACGTTAATTGCTTTTGTTTTGACTTGAAGGAGACGTTGAAGGAGGAGTTACTTAAGTGGCTTATTTATACAATGGTGTAAGTCATTGTCCATATCAAAAGCAAACTCACAAGCCCTATTCTAAATACACTTACACGCAAATCCTATTCTAAATACATTTGTTAACTAATCTTTAACTTTTATTATTAAATTTGAGTTATAGTAGGATTGGTTGGCTGATTCTATTTACAATTATTATAATTTATTATTGTAATTATAAAATGTTAAATTTATAAATGAAACTTGTTCCAATATATAATTAAATATATAAATTTTGATTTGGTACAGTTATATACGTGGAACTTTATTTCTGGTTCTAATTTATGCATGGAAATTTAATTTTTAGTCAATTAAACACATTTAAGGAAATCAATATATTTTATTTTCATATTAAATAAACATAATTATTTGTGCACGTCAAAGGGTATTACTTCATGTTTGTTAAAGTTTAATCAAATCGACATTCATGAAAAGCAACCAAGCCCTTACATTACCAATCTACGAGGAGAAGAGCAGGCTGTTTAACTTCAACTTTTGCAATTGTCACTGCTGTCTTTGTGGTCGGAATGATGAAACTGTGTTACATGCTCTCCGTGACCGCCCGGACGTTGCTTACATTCTGCATGCTGCTGGTTTTACTTCGGATGTTGTTTGCTCCACAGGATTCTGCTGGAGATTGGTTATGCTGCCAGTCTCGTCAACGGTTTTCCTTTTGATGGTGTTGTACATCTGGCATAGGCGTAATTTATTTATTCATGAAGGTCGATTGGTCCCCGGTTGGCGTATTATTTATTCTAGTCGAGCTTTGTTTTCCGCATACTCTGTTGCACATGGTCGCTCCAGCACCTCTTCTACATTGCTTGGCGTTGTACACCACTGGAGTAAACCACAAGAACACTCCCTCACCATCAATGTAGATGGAGCTTGTCCACCATCTTTTGGAAATCCAGCAGTAGGCTGTTGAGAAGCTGTTAGCAAGTTAGTTAGGCAGTTAGCTAGGTGGTTAATAGCAGTTTAGTTGTTAATTAAATGTATATAAATACATTGGTTAGCTGTACATATGTGATATAATGAATAAAGCATTACTTCATACAGCTTATTTTCTTTTCTTTTCCTCATACGAATGTTGACATGGTATCAGAGGCCATCACCGGCAGTTGTTTCCGGTTAAGTTCATTGCCGGTGAGTTGATTCAACTGCTATCCTTCTTCCTTTGTTTCTGCACAATCATGGTTTAACCGGAGACAGCTCAAATTGACTACAATCACCCTCTTTATCTTCATCCATCAGACACTCCAGGAACCTTGCTCGTCTCTCATCAACTAACTGGGGTGGAAAACTACAATTTATGGAGCAGATCCATGCGCATTGCTCTATTAGCCAAGAACAAGATTGGATTTATAGATGGAGCTTGTTCTCGTGAAGGTCTATCTCCAGAACTTTTGGCGCAATGGGAGCGTTGCAATGCCATTGTTCTTTCTTGGATTTTGAATACGGTTAGTCAAGAACTCTCTGCAGGAATAGTTTTTGCTTCCAATGCATTACGTGTATGGGAAGATCTTAAAGAACGTTTTGATAAGATTGACGGTTCACGAGTGTATTTCCTGCATCGAGAAATTGTTTCTCATTCTCAAGGTACATCTTCCATTTCGGTTTATTACACACGCTTGCGATTGCTTTGGGATGAATATGATGCCATTGCTCCTTTCGCTATATGCAACTGTGAAGTTTCTCGGCAGAATAAAGAACATGTTCATCAACAACGATTGTTTCATTTTCGTATGGGATTGAATGACTCATACTCTATGGTACGCAGTCAAATATTGTTATTAAAACCATTACCTTCTGTAAATCAAGCATATTCTATGCTTGTTCAAGAGGAAGGTCAACGTCAAAACACAGGAAGATTAGCCAATGTATTTACTCTAGTACTCAGACCAATAAACGGTTCAATGGGGTATGTGATTATTGTCATATCAAAGGTCACAAGAAGGAAACATGCTACAAGCTAGATGGTTATCCAGCTGATTACAAGTTCAATAAACGCAAGGGATCGGCTGCCAACAACGTTGTCTTGAATAGTGAAGGAGAGTCAGCCTCTTCCTTGGCTGAAAACTCTGTTCCTGCTAAGGTCCCTACTTTTACACAAGAACAGTACCAACAAATTCTTGAATTGTTGGGAAAAGATCCGCCCATGCAAGCTGCAGGTCATATGGCAGGTACTCGCCTTATTTCCTTCCATTATTACTGGATTCTAGATACTGGGGCAACGAATCACATGACCTTTGATCTTGAGAAATTGAATTCTCATGTTGCTTGTGACTCCTCTTCGTTTGTTCAGCTGCCAAATGGTAAAACCACACACATAGCCCACAAAGGAACTTATGCTTTTTCCCCTGATCACATGTTATCCAACGTTTGCATGCACCAGATTTTCATTACAATTTACTGTTTGTATCACAGTTAACCAAAGAGCTCAAATGTTCTTTAACCTTTTATCCATAATTTTTCCTTATACATGACCTTTGCAGTGGAGAGATGAAGGGGATTGGTAGATCTTATGATGGTCTTTACATTTTGAAGTCATCATCTAGCTCGTCAGGTTGTCGTGTTATTTCCAGTAAAAAATCTTGTTTGTCTTCTACAATGTTAAAATCTGATAATGGTGTATTATGGCATGCTCTTCTTGGCCATACATCTTTGAGTACTTTGAATAAAATGTCTCAGTTACATAGTGATTTGTCTGGTATTGATCATGTTAAAAGCTGCGGTGTTTGTCCTCTTGCTAAACTAACTCGTCTACCATTCCCGGTGAGTGATTCTCGTGAGATAACTGCATTTTGTCTTATTCATATTGATCTCTGGGGAGCGTATCGTATTTCAACACATAGTGGACATCGGTATTTCTTAACAATTGTTGATGATCATACGCACGTATGACATGGGTGTTCTTACTTAGGCTCAAAAGCGATGCATTTGTCATTCTTAAACAGTTTTTTGTCTATGTTGACAATCATTTTTCTGGAAAAATTAAAACTATGAGGAGTGATAATGGTTGGGAATTCTTTAGCAATGAAGGCAGTGCTTTCTTTTCTTCTCAAGGGATTGTCCATCAAAGTTCTTGTGTCCATACACCCCCAGCAAAACGGGGTTGCTGAGCGAAAACATCAATATCTGCTCAATGTTGCTCGTGCTATTAAGTTTCAGTCTTCTGTTCCCATTAAATTCTGGGGTGAGTGTATCCGAACTGCTTGCTACATAATTAATAGGCTGCCAACAAGGGTTCTTAATTGGAAAACACCATTTCAAATGTTGCATGGGAAGGTGCCTAGTCTTTCACATCTTAGAGTTTTTGGGTGTCTTTGTTATGCTACTATCCCCAACAATCATGATAAGTTTTCTTTTCGGTCTATTCCTTCGGTTTTTATGAGGTATTCACTAACTCAAAAGGGTTATGTTCTTTTTAACTTGAGCTCAAAGTCTTTTTTTGTCAATCGAGATGTGGTGTTTCACGAGTCCATTTTTCCTTTTCAATTTCCAGTTAAAAATTCTCCTTTGTTCCCTATTTCAACACTTTCTAGTGATCTTGATCGAGACTTTTTGCATATTCCAGTTGTGACATCACATGATTCGTGTAATGAGATTTTACCCGTGCATGAGTTTCCATGCAACCTTGAAACTACGAATGCTCAAAATGTAGCTTCTGGTTCAGCGTATCAAGTACCTGATAATTCATGTCCTTCATCCTCTAGTTTATCGAGTCAACAAGTTGTCCCTCGTTCTTCTCCTCGGCGTTCTACTCGAGTTACTAAACCACCTTCATGGTTATCTGATTTTGTTTATCATTCTCAATCCTCTTCTTCTAGTTCACTGCAAGCAGTTACGTTTTCCTCCTCTAATAATCTTTCTTCTTTCCTTTTACCTTCGCAAAAAGCTTTTGTTGTTTCCTCCTTAGTTGAACCTAAAACCTATCATGAGGCAGCTCGTGATGAACGCTGGGTAGAAGCTATGCAACATGAGATTCAGGCTCTAGAGGAGAATGGCACTTGGGCAGTGGTTGATTTACCTCCACATAAATGACTCATTGGTTGCAAATAGGCATACAGAATCAAGTACAACTCTGATGGATCGGTTGAAAGATTTAAAGCCCAGTTAGTTGCCAAAGGTTACAGTCAATGTGAAGGGATTGACTTCCATGACACCTTTTCACCCGTAGCAAAACAAGTTACTGTTCGTACTATTATTGCAATGGCTGCTATGTTTGGATAGGAGCTATATCAGATGGATGTATTCAATGCCTTCTTGCAAGGAGACCTTCATGAAGAAGTCTATATGCTGACGCCAGATGGTTTTCGCAACCAGGGGAAGTTTAGAGTATGCAGGTTGCTCAAGTCATTATATGTTTTGAAGCAGGCATCTCGCCAATGGAACTTAAAATTAACTGAAGCTCTTACTGCTGGTGGTTATGTGCAAAGCCTTCATGATTACTCGTTATTCATAAAACGAGAAGGTGAAAAAATAGTCATAATGTTGATTTATGTGGATGACCTCTTAATTACAGGCAATGATGGAGGAATGATAGAAGAGCTAAAACATATTCTTCACAAGAGCTTCAAGATGAAGGACTTGGGGCAACTCAAATATTTTTTAGGCATTGAAGTTGTCCGAAGTGCAGAAGGAATTGTTCTAAATCAACGAAAATATGCTTTGGAACTTATTGCAGATTCTGGTTTGGAAAATGCGCATAGTGTCTCCACTCCCCTTGAGCAGAATCAAAGGCTCACATCATCTGAGTATGATAAGTATGTTGAGCACCGTTCTGATGAACTTTTAGAGGATACTAGAATGTATTAGAGATTAATTGGAAGGCTTTTATATCTGACACACACTCGTCCAGATATAATGTATGCAGTCCAGCTTCTAAGTCAGTTCATGCAAGCTCCAAAGAAAATTCATTATGAAGCAGCTATGCGTGTTGTGAGATATATTCAAAAGAACCCAGGTGAAGGCATTTTGTTTTCAGCTAAGAGTAAACCCAGCTTAGTTGCGTTTTGTGATTCTGATTGGGCTGCTTGTCCCATGTCAAGACGTTCTGTTTCAGGCTATTGTGTTAAACTAGGAGATTCTCTCATCTGTTGGATATCTAAGAAGCAAAGAACAATTTCACTATCATCGGCTGAGGCTGAATATAGGTGCATGGCATCTAGGTGGCAGAATTGGTTTGGTTGAGAGGATTAACTAAGGAACTGGGAATTGAGCACCATGAGCCAACAACTTTGTATTGTGACAACCAGGCTGCACTTCACATCGCGGCAAATCCAGTGTATCATGAAAGAACGAAGCATATATAGATTGACTGTCACTTTGTTCGTGAGCAAATACAAAAGGGAGTTGTTTGTACCAGACATGTTTCGACCAAGGAACAGCAGGCTGATATTTTCACAAAGAGCCTGGGGACAAATCAGCATGAACGCTTGAAGATCAAGTTGGGAATGAAAGACCTAATAACTCTTTTCCTTGTTTGATTCATACATTCATATCATGTTACAATAAGCAAACGTACACGCGTTTGAGTGCACGCTAACACACAATCAGAATTTCCAAGTTTGCGGTGGAAAATATTTGATTTGAGTAAGCCATTCGAAAATAGGTGAAAGACCTAATAAACCTAAAAGTTAGTTCAGAGGATAGAAATACTCATTCTGCTGCCCTAAAAAACAAAAATCATGAGATAGATAATTTTGTGAAAATTCACAATTTAAAAAGTATAACTAGGGTAATACAAGAAAGCCATGTGGGTAGAGGCTTACATAGATCTTTCTATCATGCCCTGCTATCAGCAACCGTGATCCATCAGAGGTAAAAACCATAGAATGTGCAGATGGAAGTTTCTGGGGAAATTGCCTTTTACTAATGGTCCATGTACTTTGGCCAGCTTGCCTACTTAGTGCAAATAGAGTGGATCTAATGTGGTCAGAATAACCAAAAAGCTCCCCTGAGTTAGACATTGCACTGCTGTTGAAAACATTTTGATGTTTCGATATAACAAATGAATTTTAAGATTTTGTAAATGATTTTCTAAGTATATTCGATATAATTATTTGAATATCAAAATATTACTCGAAGTCTTTCAAAGTTCATTTTAATCCTTACTAAAGTGTAAAATTGTGTTTTATACTTAAACTATTTTAAAACAATTTTACAAAATATTTCGAGCCTTAATCGAGCCAAAAATACTTTCTTTTTAAAGGGTTTTAAGAAAAATCAAATTGTCCAGGGGTACAGATTCCCCCCCAGGGGGTATCGATTCCCCCCCAGGGGAACAGATTCCCCCCAGGGGTACCGATTCCCCCTGTCTAACGGTCAAAAACAGATTGCACTTAGGGAACCGATTTCCCATGAGGGGGTACCGATTCCCCCACGCTCCAAGCTATTTTATTAATTGTTTCTCATCCCCAAACGGCTCCAAAACATCCCAAACGACTATATACGACTTCAAACACATTCCAAGCTATAAATACAAGGTAAGGACACTTGAAGAAGCAAGAGAACAACTATCCAAGCAATCAAACACAAGAGAAGAGTTTTTCAATCTTATTTCATCTTTCTCTTGTAAATATTTTGTTCTTGTGAGCTCAATCTTGTAAACACCTACCTTAGAGAGGTTTTCTTGTTTATATCTTTTATCCTTTTGTAAAGGGTAAAGGTTCTAGCTTAGCCCGTGTAAAAGCTAGGGAAAGGTTCTAGTTTAGCCCGGAAAAACTAGGGAGTTTGTAAGGTTACTCTTTATCCTCAAAAGAAAGAACAAATTAGTGAATTTGTTGGAAAATCCTTGGTGAGAAGCTAAGGTAGTGGACGTAGACTTTGATTGAGAAAGTTGAACCATTATAAATCGCTGTGCAATTCTCTATCTTTCAATCTCCTTACTCCCTAAACACAAAACCGCTCCGACCCTTCTTTGCAAACCGTTCCGGTTGTCGATTCGAGCTTCCGAAAATCCTAACAATTGGTATTAGAGTCTAACTCATTAATAAGGTTTAACCATCTTGAGACGATCCTAGAAGAAGCTCTACCAATTCCCTACACAACCGAGAAGATGGCTTCCACCTCCGGCTCGTTCCACATGGAAGACTCCCTACCAACCGACAAACCTCCATACTTCAATGGAGTCAACTATCATCATTGGAAGAAATTAATGAAGGTATTCATCCAATCCAATGATCTTGATATATGGGAGATAATCGAGAATGGCTACTCTTCTCCATAGAAGAAAGAGAAGAAGCGGTGTGACAAAGAACGGAAGAAAGCTTAACTTAATGCCAAGGCCATGCACATGTTGTTTTGTGCATTTGGTCCTGAAATCTATGAAGGGGTTTCTTCATGTTCAAGTGCCAAGGAGCATTGGAATAAGCTCGAGGAAATCCATGGAAACAAGAAAGAAGAACCAACAAAGGTGGTGTCTCTAATGGCTTATGAAGAGCCCGAGGTATCTTCTAACTCAAATGAATTTAATTCATATACGTTTGATGAGTTATAAGATGCTTTTAATAGGTTATATTCAGAGTTTGAGACCATGAACTCCAAATATAAGAAAATGATTTCAAAATTTAAAATTGAAAACGATTTTCTTTTGAAAACAAAAATAGATTTTAAAAGCCAAAATGAAATTTTGAAAAAGGATTTAGAGCTTTCAAAAATAAAAATTGATAGTTTTGAAAAACAAAATTTTGATTTAAAAGTTAAGCTTGAATGCTTAACAAAAGGAAAAGAAATCATTTTAAATAATTCATTTAGTTCAATAATGACAATATGCTCACATTGTCATTATCATGGTCATTTGGAAATTACTTGTCATTTGAAGAAAGGAAAACGTTTTAAAATTAGGCAAGTATGGGTTCCGAAAGGAACAATGGGCATTAAAACTAACGTCCAAGGATCCAAAGCAATTTGGATACCAAAATCTACTTAAATGTCTCTTGTAGGTGTGTGGGAGCAATGGTGATGAGAGTGATGATATTCAAGATGCTCTAGCCACACATGAAAAAGGAATAGGTAACCTCTAAGCTTAATGTTTTTAATTTTGGTTATTTGGTTGCTCATTTGATTTTAAGCATGCATGAGTTTTGTTTTTAAATGATTATGCATCATTGTTTTAATCGCATGTATGTTGAAAAGATGATTATGATGAACATTTTAAAGTTATATTAATTTTTAAGAATTTTTAGTTCATCATAATAAAATTTTGGTCAAAATTAGTTTTAATGCAATTGATTTTTCTCTAACAATTGATATCAATTTTTCAAATACTTTGATTTTACAAATTTTAAAATTTTTGACCTAAATTTGAATGTTTATGCATGTGGTTTAAATGAAACTGACATCTCTCTAACAATTTATATCAAAATTTTCAAATGCATAACATTTTTGGAAAACTTTATGCATATGCACTTAATTTTAACAATTGATATTGATATCAAATTTCAACAATTGGTATTGCATAAAGTATTTTAGTCTTGGATATATTGAATTTCATGTGCTATTAACATGTTTGTTATTCTTTGTTGAAATTCAATTTTGTTTAAGTGTCTTGTTCTTAAAGTTAAATTTTATTTGGAATACATTTATTGAGGGGGAGCTTTGATTTTTTTCAAATGATTTTTAAAATGTCAAATTTACTACTTACTCTCCAAAGTTATTTTGAACTTTAAAAGACTAGAGTCTTTTTGATTTAACAAAAAGGGGGAGAAGTGTTAAGGTGTTTTAAAGGGGAGAAGTGTTAAAGTAAGGGGGAGTAATTTCAAACTTGAATTCAAAATCTTAAAATTACTCAAATGTTTTGTTATATCAAAAAGAGGGAGATTGTTGAAAATATTTTGATGTTTCGATATAACAAATGAATTTTAAGATTTTGCAAATGATTTTCTAAGTATATTCGATATAATTATTCGAATATCAAAATATTACTCCAAGTCTTTCAAAGTTCATTTTAATCCTTACTAAAGTGTAAAATTGCGTTTTATACTTAAACTATTTTAAAACAATTTTACAAAGTATTTCGAGCCTTAATCGAGCCAAAAATACTTTCTTTTTAAAGGGTTTTAAGAAAAATCAGATTGTCCAGGGGTACAGATTCCCCCTAGGGGGAACAGATTCCCCCCAGGGGATACCGATTCCCCCCTGTCTAACGGTCAAAAACATATTGCACTTAGGGAATCGATTCCCCATGACTGGGTACTGTTTTATTAATTGTTTCTCATCCCCAAACGGCTCCAAAACATCCCCAACGACTATATACGACTTCAAACACATTCCAAGCTATAAATACAAGCTAAGGACACTTGAAGAAGCAAGAGAATAACTATCCAAGCAATCAAACACAATAGAATAGTTTTTCAATCTTATTTCATCTTTCTCTTGTAAATATTTTGTTCTTGTGAGCTCAATCTTGTAAACATCTACCTTAGAGAGGTTTTCTTGTTTACATCTTTTATCCTTTTGTAAAGGGGAAAGGTTCTAGCTTAGCCCGTGTAAAAGCTAGGGAAAAGTTCTAGTTTAGCCCGGAAAAACTAGGAAGTTTGTAAGGTTACTCTTTATCCTCAAAAGAAAGAACAAATTAGTGAATTTGTTGGAAAATCCTTGGTGAGGAGCTAAGGTAATAGACGTAGACTTTGATTGAGAAAGTTGAACCATTATAAATCGCTGTGCAATTCTCTATCTTTCAATCTCCTTACTCCCTAAACACAAAACCGTTCCGACCCCTCTTTATAAACCGTTCCGATTATCGATTCAAACTTCCGAAAATCCTAACAACTGCAAACGATTTTCCTACAAGCCTTACTCTTAACCCGAGCTACTAAATTAGTGGTCACAGGATCACCATAGGGACCAGAACCCACATCAGGAATTTGAACAGTGAGCACATCTAACCAACAAGAAGCTTGAACTAGGAGAAAAGAAGTCCGATTGAACCTTGTGCTAGTGACCAGTTGTATTGAAACTCTCTGAGGTGCAGGGCAAATATCACGTGGGGAGAACCTAGTAAAATCTTTTGCAGAGTAGGCAAACAGCTTCACATCATCACCAGCAGAGACAAGCATGGGAACTCCAAAATGAGCCCATTTACCATAACTGAAATCAAGGGGCTTCTTCTCTCTTGATCGGATTCTTTTTACTTTTTTCCTCTTGTCTTCTTGGAAGTCTTTTGCCTCATCGGATAAAGAGCCTAGAAATTAGAAGGGAAAAAAGTTTAAAATCAAGAGGTACCCAATTTATTTAACAAAATTCAAGTTCAAAATTAAATAAATAAAACAATAAATAGGCATGGGATCAAAAGCATGAACAGACCTTCAGAACTGAAGGCAACTGCCATTGTCAAGCCTCTAACATCATGGGTATGAGCCCTTACAGAACTGACAAATACCCATTTCTTCAAAATTTCAGGAGATGATTCCTTTTTATCAGACTGAAGCATCTCACTGGAAAACATATAAAGAATAACCTATAAAATGTGACAACACTGTTGGAAATAAAACACTCACACAAACAACTTTTATTGAAATTCAAACAAATATTACAAGAGTACTCTCACTCAAAAACAAGAACTACAACTCACTCTTATAAGACTTTGCTTCTTCACTCACTTAGAAGCTCTTAATTTTTCTTGATGCTTAAAACTAAAATGGGAAGGGGTATTTATACTACTCAAGAACAATCCTACACCACACAAATAAACTAATTTAAACCATTACAAATTCAACAAATATCTAACTCTCACCTAACTAAATTGATGTAAGCAATGACATCATTAATTAAATGATGTAAGCAATGACATCTTTAATTAAATGATGTAAGTAATGACATCAATTTAGTTTGGGTTTGGGTTTAGGCTCCCATAATGGATCAAGTTTATGATCCAACACCCTCCCTTAAACTTGATCTCGTGACCCCTAGTAGGTTCCTTAATCTTAAGAAGTCTTCGCTGGTCAGTGGCTTGGTAAAAATATCAGCAACTTGATCTTGTGACTTCACATATTCAACTTCCACATCTTTTCTTGCAACACACTCCCTTATATAGTGGTAGCGAATATCAATGTGCTTGCTTCGATCATGGAATACTGGATTCTTCGCTAAGGCAATGGTTGACTTGTTGTCGATACAAACCTTGGTAGGCTCTTCTTGTATCAAACCAATCTCCTTCAATAGATTTCTAAGCCAAATTGCATGACAAACACATGAGGTAGCAGCAACATATTCCGCTTCACAAGTGGACAATGTGACAATCGGTTGTTTCTTTGACATCCATGTGAATGCAATATCTCCCATGAAAAATACAAATCCAGTAGTGCTCCTTCGATTATCTATGTCTCCACCCCAATCACTGTCGCTATATCCAACAAGCTTGTAATCATTAGAAACTGAATAGAACAAGCCAAAGTCAATTGTACCTTTCAGATAGCGAAGAATTCTCTTTGTAGCTTTAAAATGGGTGGTTGTTGGGGATTCCATGTAGCGACTAACCAATCCAACTGCGTGAAGAATATCGGGTCTCGTGCAAGTTAGATAGCGTAGACTTCCTACCAAACTTTTGAAGAATGTTGGATCTACACTTTCGCCTTCTTCATGTTTGGTCATCTTGATCTCGTATTCTGCCGGTGTGCTTATTGGCTTACAGTTCTCCATCTTGAACTTCTTCAGTATCTCCTTTGCATAGCTTTCCTGTGAAATGAAAATTCCATCATTTGTTGCTTAACTTCAATGCCAAGGTAGTACGCCATGAGCCCCATGTCTGTCATCTCGAATTCTTTCATCATCACATCCTTGAATTCATTAAACATGCTTGGGTTGCTTCCAGTGAAGATCAAATCGTCCACGTAGAGGCACACGATCAAAATATCTTCATCTTTGATCTTGATATATAGAGCATGCTCGTAGGGACATTTGTTGAAACCATTCTCTTGGAAGTACTTGTCGATTCGGCTATTCCATGCCCTTGGTGCTTGTTTTAGCCCGTAAAGAGCCTTCTTCAACTTCAACACCTTGTCTTCATGCCCTTTGACTTCATAGCCTGATGGTTGCTGAATGTAAAGTTCCTCTTCAAGAACTCCATTTAGGAAGGCGGACTTTACATCCATCTGTTGTATCTTCCACTTGTTTTGAGCTGCCAAAGAAATGATTAGTCTGATAGTCTCCAATCGAGCAACAGGAGCAAATACCTCATCATAGTCAATTCCAGCCTTTTGACTATAGCCTTTAGCAACTAGCCTCGCCTTGTGCCTTTCAATCTCTCCTTTGGCATTTTGCTTTGTTTTGTACACCCATTTGACACTTATCGCCTTATGTCCCTTGGGAAGTGAGGTAAGTTCCCATGTGTCATTCTTCTCGATGGCCTTGATTTCTTCGTCCATCGCATCTCTCCATTTCTTTTCTTTTCTTGTACCGCTTCTTGAAAGCTCACTGGTTCACAATCGGCAAACAAACAAAATAATGTAAGATTATCTTGTCGTTCAGTTACCTCATAGAGATCTCTAAGGCTTCTTGTGCGTTGCACAACTCTTTCACTTTGACTCCCACTTGACGATGATGAAGGTGATGAGTCTCCTTGAGTGGTTGATGTTGGTGAAGTGGGTGGAGTTGCAAGCTCTTGTTGAGATTCATCTAGTTGTTCCCTCATTGTCTGCTCATCTTCTTCAAACTGAGGAAAGAAATTGAAGTCATCTGTATGAGAGTTAAAATCTCATTCTCCTTCTTCGTTGAAGACCACATCTCGACTAATCACAAACTTCTTATTGTCTGGATTGTACAACTTGTAGCCCTTCGAATTAGCATCATAGCCGATGAAGATAAAACTCTCGCTTTTATCATCAAGCTTCGTTCTTCTCTCGTCTGGTACGTGAACATGGGCTATACTTCCAAAGGTTCTCAAGTGGGAAATGCCAGGCTTTCTTCCACTCCATGCCTCTTGCGGTGTCTTTCCCCATACACTTCTTGTTGGAGATCGATTTGACAAGTAGACTGAACACGATACTGCTTCCGCCCAAAATTCTTTGGGTAGTTTCTTGCTTTTGAGCATGCTTCGTGCCATGTCGAGGATTGTTCTATTCTTTCTTTCTGCCACACCATTTTGCTGGGGGGATCTAGGAACTGTCATTGGTCGACGAATTCCATTTGCTTCACAGAACTCTTGAAACTCCCTGGAAGTAAATTCTCCACCTCGATCGGATCTCATGGCTTTGATCTTTCTACCGCTTTCTCTCTCCACTGCTGCTTTGAACTTCTTGAAGACTTCAAAAACTTCTGACTTCTGTTTCAAGAAATATGCCCAGGTTTTTCTTGAAAAATCATCAATGAAGAGAAGAAAATAGTTATTGTTACCGAAAGAGCTTGGCTTGATCGGTCCACACACATCGGTATGGATGAGCTCAAGTGGCTTCTTAGCTCTTGTCTCTGACTCCTTTGGAAAGCTTTTCCTGAATTGTTTCCCGACTAGACACCCTTAACAGAGCTGGTCAGGATGGTTGATGTGAGGTAGTCCTTTCACCATCTCCTTCTTAGATAATAGCTCTAGACCTCCAAAATTGAGATGCCCAAATCGAAGATGCCAAAGCCATGATGCATCTTTGTAGCAAGCTTTCATGCACTTTGCAACATCATTTTGTATGTTGATCAAGAACATTCTATTCTTTGACATCGGCACTTTAGCAATGAAGTTATTCTTATCATCTTTTATAGAAAGATTATAATTATTTATATGAATATCATAACCTTTCTCTACCAGTTGCCCTAAACTTAAAATGTTACTTTTCATATTGGGCACATAGTAGACATTTGAAATAAATTGATGTCTCCCATCTTTCAAACGGATAAGAATGTTACCTCTCCCTTTCACTGCTATTGTGGAATCATCTCCAAACGAAACATTTCCACTTACTGACTCGTCTAGCTCCACAAACATGTCTTTCCTTCCACACATGTGATTGCTTGCACCACTGTCAAGATACCAGGAATTTGCTTGGCCACCATCAGTTTCCTTTCGTGCTAGAAGAAGAGTTTCTTTGCCATCTGTCTTTTCCTCCACGTAATTGGCCTTCTCCTCAATTTTGTTGTTGGGAGCTCTACATTCTGAAGCATAATGCCCAAATTTTTGACAATTATAACATCGAATTTGAGATTTGTCATACTTTGAGTTTGGATTAATTCTTCCACGGCCTCGTGTTGAGCTTTCTCCTTTCTCATAGTTATTGTTGGAATTGTTATTGTTGTAATTCCAGCCTCGTCCACGACCTCGACTTCCACCTCGTCCATGGCCTCTACCTCTGCCTTGGCCACGTTGGTTTCTATCATTGCGTTGGCTCTCATGCATATCCTTGAGTTGCAGCTTGAGGAGTTGCTCAGTAAACTCATGCTTCTTTTTATGCTTCTCTTTGTATGCTTGCAATGATCCTTGGAGCTGTTCGATCTTCATTTCTTCCAAGTCTTTAGTTTCTTCAATCGTCATGACGATATGCTCAAATTTGGGATCCAACGAACGGAGTATCTTCTCTATTATCCTCACATCGTCTAACTTTTCACCATTTCTTTTTAATTGATTAGAAACAGCTACTACTATTGAGAAATAATCTGAAATAGACTCAGATGCTTTCATGTTTAAGGATTCGAATTCACCTCTTAATGTTTGGAGACGAACCTTCTTCACTTGCTCGGATCCTTTGTAAGAGGTTTGCAGCTTCTCCCACGCTTCCTTGCTAGAGCTTGCACTTGAAATCTTTTCAAAACCATCATCATCTAATGCTTGATAGATGAGGTAGAGAGCCTTCTTGTCTCTCTTTCTTGAATCCTTCAAAGTTGTCTTTTGATCTGGTGTAAGAGTAGCAAAAGCATCATCATCCGCAGGCTCGTTATAACCTTTCTCTATGATATCCCACACATCTTGTGATCCAAGAAGTGCCTTCATTTTGATACTCCAATTGTTGTAGTTGTTGTTGTTGAGTGTCGGAACTTGGAATGGTGCCATACCATTTGCCATATCTCTCAATATAATGAGATTTTGTAAAATCCGATTGCACGGATGAATCCGGAACGATGAAAAAAAACTTTGGAGGGACTTGGACAACTCGGTCAAGGGCTCCAACTCGGCTGACTCGGCTCAACTCGGTGAGTCAACTCGATTTTCTGACAGCAGTCTTCCGGCGGTGCGTGGCGGTGCGTCAGAACTCAGATTGAGAAAATTCTGGCAGCGTCGTATTCCTCTCGTCGAGACCTTCGATCTTTCCAACTCTCTCTGATGCCACTTTGTTGGAAATAAAACACTCACACAAACAACTTTTATTGAAACTCAAACAAATATTACAAGAGTACTCTCACTCAAAAACAAGAACTACAACTCACTCTTATAAGACTTTGCTTCTTCACTCACTTAGAAGCTCTTAATTTTTCTTGATGCTTAAAACTAAAATGGGAAGGGGTATTTATACTACTCAAGAACAATCCTACACCACACAAATAAACTAATTTAAACCATTACAAATTCAACAAATATCTAACTCTCACCTAACTAAATTGATGTAAGCAATGACATCATTAATTAAATGATGTAAGCAATGACATCTTTAATTAAATGATGTAAGTAATGACATCAATTTAGTTTGGGTTTGGGTTTAGGCTCCCATAATGGATCAAGTTTATGATCCAACAAACACAATAGACATTAGTGACAAGGAGCAAGATTAAATCTAATAATATGACGCAACTAAATTCCAAAAAGAAATTATATCTGAGAAAGAGAACTATACACCTATTATTTTTTGTCTTTGTTTTAATAAGTTACCCTCAGAAGAAAGTGAGTAGAGCACCCCCACCCCTTGCCATCCATACCTGTCCATCAGACCCAGCAGAGAACACCTTGTTCTGACTTGAAGCTGCTGCCAAGACATTTACATCACCTTTGTGGATAGAGTGTGCACTGGAGAAGAGTCCCATTACCACCATTCCAGAACTGAACAGATCCAGTGCTGTCTGCACTAACAACAGTTCCACACCTGAATTTAACAATAAAACAACCATCAAAAGGAAGCACATTAACCATTCATAATACAATGGCCATTGACATTTCACCACATATTGCAACTGAGTGCTCATTCAGTTGAGATAGTAGATCTGATATGAATGACCATATGCAAAGCTCAGGCCCACTGCCCAAACTTCCAAGAGCAACTACACTTCTGAAATTTCATGACCCAAATCAGCATTCCAGCATCTAATAAACCTGTGGGAAGGTTAGTGCAGATGTTACCACGCTAGAAAAGGTTAAATTGGATAAAATAAGAGCAACCTCTCTGTAATCTGTCTCGTGGATTTTGCAAAGACCAACTCTGAATGGAGATTTTTTTTCCTCTTTTTCTTTTACTGAAAGATGGAGATGGGAATGGAATGCATCAGCATTGGTAAATGCTTGCTCTGCTCCTTTCCGCCTTTTAAAATAAATATTTTACCACTTAAAATACTATAAGTATCCCTTTAATATATTTATGATATATATTAGACATATATGCATATTAAAATCATATATATACAAGTAAAAAAATATTTTAATATAAATGTATATTATACATACTAATGAACTATATATAGTAAATTATATCCATAACTTATAAAAAATGGGGTAAATGAGATAAAGCAGTGGCTTCCGGTTATGAATGTAACCAATATACATGGAGATAGATATTTTCAACATCCATGAAAGAAGGTGCAGAAGTGGATGAGGCGATCCCCACCTCTGCCCTGCTCAATTACCATTCCTACATAGAATTTCAGAGATATTGAAATTAATATTATAAATCAATAAAATTAAATAAATTAATAAACAAGTATTATATGGATCAAAATAACATGTATAACATCATATTCACTAGAAGAACTTACCCATCACTACTCCCTGAATATATTCTATTTGAATCATGATTCCAGGTCACACTTGGCATCCTGCAAATAGTATTACCACGAATAAGCTCCAAGTAAAAGATAAGAGCAATAAACTAAGAAGAATAGTACCTTAGGTGCAGGTATATCACCACTAACCCGGGGCAATGATTTAGGGTATCCATATCAGAAATAGTGTAAATCCTCACAACTCCATCACAAGCAATTGCTACACTGTTGGTCAAACCCCAATTGACTCTAGCACAATCTGCAAAAGGGTTTAATCACATAAATAAACAATGAATACAAGCTAACTTCTGCCGAACGCTCCTTGCACATTAGAGAGCATTAGAGAGCTAATACAACAGCAGGAAATGCATTCAAAAAATCTGTGAAACCATATATCACTCTCCTTCGATCAAAGCAATATTTAATAACTTAACCAGCGTAAAAAAAATTAAGCCTACAGTAAGGCAACTGGAAGAAAATGAGAAAAGCGGTTCTCAGAACTCAGGTATTATCCTCATTATTCAATAAATCATAAGAAACTAATCGAAATGCATTCATTGAAGTTAGGGGGTTGGATTCATCTACTACAGTCGGGTTGAGTTTAACAAACAGGTTAATAAAGAGGAGAACAGTAAAAATGGAAAAGGCAAAAAATCAACGAAATGAATGCGAAATAACCTTCTGCTTCAAGTAAAAAAGATCCCATTCCGAGACTGAGCCATCAATACTGGAGGAGAACAACCTGCCAGAAGACAGGTCTTTTGATCCAACGCGACACCACACCAGCGACGAAACTCGACAAGTAGAACCTCCATGAATGGTCTACACAATGACACCAATAAATTAAACAGAAGTAAAACTAAAAAGACAGGTCTTAGCTGGTTCGGTAAGCTTTGGGAAGCATTGGAGCTGGGGCGGCTGTGATCCTAGGAAACCAATTCCAGGGCAGATGCCAGATTGTAGTACATAAATTTTATATATATCTTGAGATTGTTGTTCATCCTAGCCGTTAGATATGATCCGATGTATCATGCTATATGAGAAATTATCATAATATTGGGTAAATAAAATTTTCTTTTATGAATTTAAGAAAATGTAAAATTTAAGTAAAATCGCTGGGTATAATGTGGTAAAAGAAAAGTGTCTATATGATGTATTATAAATTATTGTTTGAATTAAGATATTTGTTACAATATTCATAGAATTTGTTTTGATTATATGATAATTTTTTAAAAAAATATATTTTATATGATACGACATTTTGCTTAGGTTCTCTGTGTCAGTACTGCATCCTATTGTAAGGGAAAATCGTTGTACAAGCTATTAGCTTAACGAATCTTAATATTCAAATAATAAAATTATAGGTAAACTACGTCAAATATTACTCATCTTTAAATTCAGGCTCGAAAATATCACCGACGTTTTAATATTGTCAAATTTAACACGGCCATTTATATTTCATTGTAATTTTGCCACTCCGTCATTAATTTGTTAACGATACGATGACATGACATCTTTGTTCCGTGACGGCGATGACATGACTCCCTCATCAAAATGACGTCGTTTTGGCACGACCGTTTTGATGCTAAAAACTCAAAACGACGTCGTTTTGTTGATGAATAAAATATTTTCATAGAATTCAAACCGTAGACCTTTAGAATTCAAAACTAAATACCCAATCACCAAGCTAACTTAATAACTTTGTATAATCTTAACAAAACTAAACAGCCTACCATTACACACCTCAGCCTCGGTTCCGTTTCGCTGGGAAGAGGAACCGGGAAAGCCTAAACCTTGTAATACACACCATCTTCTCCAACCCCAATGAATTGCTCAAAAGTGCCTGGAACTGCCTCCCAGATTGCTACACGATGCCAGGAATACCCCAGCCTTGGAAGGTGATAGATTTCAGTCATCTTCTTCTTTCAGAATGGGAAGTGCGTGTTACGGATCCTTTCGCGGTGGCAGTAGTAGTCCCGAGAGGGTGCACCTTGGCTCCATGGTTCTTAGCAAGAGAGGAACGTACAAAGCAAAAGGGTTTCTTGGTTCTTTGAGAAGAAGGGCCTTCAAGGCTAGCAGAGAAGTTGGGGGACTGGGAATAGCTGTGTCTTCCCATCTTCTGCTGATAGAGACAGTGAATGCAGCACCGAAGAATTTAACGTTGTACAGCAACAATGAGTTTTTAATCTGTTGCATGCTGGTGTAGTAAGTTCATGCATTCGTGAATAAAATCCAACATTCCATCTTTTCTCAACCTTGCAGAAATTATTAAGACTCAAACTCTACATTGTTATACACACTCACATGCTTCGCATTTCATTCATGGATTTATCAAACAAAACCTATATTGTATATTTTTTCATCGATTATTACTTTAATCGAACCAATATGGACTAGTTAAATTCATTTCAGTTTATAATAGTTTTAAATTTGGTTTTATTTTTAAAAAACTAGAATAAATATTATATAAAAAATTGTATTTTCCGAAAGAAACCGATCGGAACATCTAACGTACAACAGACGACTAGTAGCATGGTCGATGATGGAGCAGCTTCCGGCTCCGTCTGTCCAATGGGTTGTGGGGACTTGCAGTCCCTAAGTTTGTCGATGAGTCCTGGTTCCCAATCCAGTTGCGTTCAAGTGACATTATTTATAATAGTTTTGTTAAGATTATATAGAGTTCTTAATTTAGTTTCGTGGTTGGGTATTTAATTTTGGATTCTAAAGGTCTACGGTTCGAATCTCATGAAAACTTTTTTCATCAACAAAACGACGTCGTTTTGAGCTTTTTGAGCATCAAAACGGTCGTGCCAAAACGTCGTTGTTTTGATGAGAGAGTCGTGTCATTGCCGTCACGGAACAAAGATGTCATGTCATCGTGCCCGTTAACGGATTAACAGCGGATTAACAGCGGAGTGGCAAAATTGCAGTGAAACATAAATTTCCATACTAAAAATTGGCAAAATTGAAACGTCAGAATTATTTTCGAGCCCGAACTTAAAGATGAGTGGTATTTGACGTAGTTTACCCTAAAATTATTTATGATACGTCATATACAGACAATATTTTTTCACCACAATATTCAAATGCTTTTGTCAAAATAAAAATATATATTTTGAAAACAAAGATTAATTTGAAATACATATATATATATATATATATATATTTCAATATTTTAAGTCATATATATAGTTTTCTTTAACATAATAATAAAAATTACCCCTAACGTTTAATTAAATAGTTATTTTAGATTTTATTTTTTTAGGAGCATTTTGAACCTCAACGTTTAATTTTAGGGTAAAAATGTCCATTTTTTGATGAAAATTGTTGTTAATAAATATAACAATTCGATAAGAAAAGAAAAGGAAAAAAAACAATATTTTACTAATAATTGAAGATACCAGTTTAGAATAAAAATCTGATTGCTGAAAGAATAACGAACTGGAAACAAGTTGAGGCATGTAGCTACATAATTTCCTTAAGACGTATTCTCGATCACTCCTATATTGTTTGAGATCGTTGATTGTTTGTCTCCCAAGATATAACAATTAGATGATCAGCTACAATTGCACTGCTACAGAGATCACAAACTATTTCTTACTTTCATCTATCACCGAAAACTAGAGGATAATAAAATAATTCTTTTGAATTAATTGAGTTTTTTTAATTGTGTTTAACTTAGTAGGTTTGAACGGTATTTATAGGATTTCACATTGTGAATGTTGCGTGTTGTGAGTACTATAAAATTATACGCAAATAGTGTGCAAGTATACACAATCGCTCAAATAATAAAGTGATGAGTGAGTATCGTCTCCACAGGGATTGGTGGAAATTACAAAGTTTAACCAAAGCAAAGCACTACTCTAAGTATAGTTAGTGATGATATGTACCAATGGAGAATGTCACAGCAATGAAAAGTGTGTGTGGATGGATGTGGATTGATAGTTTGATGGGGTAGAAAATGGAAATGTATTGGCAAGAGCATATTATAGTGTTGAAAATGATAGAAATGTCAAGACAATGAAAAACGTTAAAACACTAAATAAATGATAGTTTGATAATCCGCACACAACAAGCTTCCACGGGAATGAATGATAAGAATTGATTTAAGGATGCTAAAACTTATCTCTCAACCAGATTTGATTTATCTAACTGTCACTTGCTCGACAAGGTTTGCTGAAAGTTCTCCCGCTATCTCTAGTCAAAGGAACCTAATAGAATATAATGCCACGATATCTCCTCTCAGTCTCAACTATGGCAGCCTATGCTATTGACAAAAACTACCCCTCTTAGTCGTTGAAATTCGATCTTAGTCTCTCTCAAGCACTAAGGGATTAGGATATAGTATTATTATGCCAGTTCTAAGCTTAATAAAATACTACACCCCATTGCTTATGTGGATCTTACTTTTGTTTCTCTCGCATACTACAAGTATTAATGACTAAGTTTCTCTCGAACACCTAGCCTTCTTCTAAGTAAAGGTCACTCTCATGCCCCCTACAAACTTAGAAGATGAAGCATTCATAAGAAAAACAAGTAGATGCAAAGATAAGTTTAAATATACCATTAGAATAATATCAAACATCCATAAAATCAACTCCATCAAATAAGGTTAGTTTATGGTAGGGTTCAAATCATCCATGAAACAAAACATGAAATTCATTCGTTCCAACAACCCAATATCAAATGAAAAATAACAGCAAAGGGTAAGGGAGAAGAAGCCTTCGACGCACGCAGTCGGAGCTCTCCTCAACCACCACGACTCACCTTAGCTTGCTAGCTCTTCTTGGACGCCTAACTCGCCACTCCTTGGAGCTCGTTAATGGAGGAACACCACTATAGAATGGAAGAAAAGATACAGTTGAGAAGGTAAAGAAAATCTAGCTGAAGATGGTTAAATTGTCATCTTTTCTCTCTCCTATGAGGTGTATTAAATAATAAAAAATATCCAAGGGTATTAATAGGATTTAACAATCAAACTACCCATCATACCCCTAGAGTCACTCCTTGGGCGTGAGTCTTATCCTCCCAGGTGGCAGTGTCCCTAACATGTGGTTATAACCATCAGACACGTGCCTTGCCAACTGTCCTTTTATAAAATATATGTTTGTCTTTTTCTGCGCCAGAAATGCCAAGGCATTTCAATCTGCTTCAACAACGTGTGATGTAACGATATTCCTTCCCAATTCAACCTTTTGCTTGCTATTTCCTGCACAACACAAACAACCACTTTTCCCTCATTCAGCACCTTTACAAGATAAAATAGCACCACCACCACTAATGCAACTATATGCAACTACATGATCCTAAAATGAGCTTTTAAACAAATAATAAATTAAGTGAAAAACACCTTAAAAGTAGTTTTTAAGGAGTTAGCAGTGAACTATTGAACTTTTTTTTACCTAATGAAGCATTACTATGAATAAAGCAATTTCAAAAAATCACCGTTTTGATTAAAGGAACATTTTAATATTTATCATTTTAATTCCAAAACAGAATTTTTAAAAAGGTATGCTTTATTTAAGAAAAAAATATTTCAAATTTTGGTTAAGATACCTCCAAGCTCACGGAGGGCTTAACTGGTTTGGACATTCATGTTACCCACATTATGCACGTTTGCACATTTACGAACCAACAATTGGTTCCACATTTTCCTCAACATTGTTTGGATCAATTTATCATTTAAAGCTCCAAAATTATCGATTTTTTCCAACAATTGTTAGTTAACAAACGATCAATGCTTCAAAATAAAGGTCTTTACTCTTGGAGTCAAAATGCTACAAAAAAATTAAGAGCTAAAATGATTATTTAGTCAAACATTAGGAACATTTTCATCTTAAAAAATGTTCGAGGCCAAAATATTTAAAGAAATAGATATCAAAATAACTATTTAATCAAACATTTTGAGATTTTTTTTTATATTATGCTTTTTTTTCTTCTTTCTAGATACACTTATATCATCTAATCGACTAAGCCTCATTAGAAATTAGTGAAATCCCCCTGCAACGAAACAACATTAAATTACACCCACTCGATAGTGGTGAGTTCCCATTAGGATTATTAGGGTTTTATTTTCATGTCTTGCGCAATGGTTTTCACCCACAAATGACAACACCTACCGCATTAGGTATAAACGTAAACAAAGAATAAGAAAATATCTCATGTTCGAGAAGATGAGTTTACTTAACCCCAAACCCATCGCCATGAAAATGACTGTGCGGGACATTACATAATAAAGAAATGGAGACAAAGATTTAGGGTGGACAAGCAATGGCGATTGTAGGGTTGTAAAATCGGGTAATCGTTCAGTTTCAGTCGGATCCTCGTAGGTCGGTAAATCGGATACAGGTCAAGTCAGGTAAATTGACACCAAATCCAGATCGGGTTCAGTCAGGTCAAATCAATTCGGGTTATTTTCAGGTTGATTTGACACCAGATCCAGATCGGGTTCATGTCAGGTCATTTTCAGTTCGGATCGTTGCCAGTTCAGGTCCGAAGCAGTTAAAAAGCAGGTTATTCAGGTTCGGATGGACTTCAGGCGGATCTCGTTCAGATCAGGTCACATCATTGGCAGATAAAATTCAGGTCGGATCTCTATCAGATACGGGTTGAGTTCAAATCGGGTTAATTTTTATTTTTGGATTAATTATTTTCGTCTTTCACGAACGTTGAATTGCAATTTGTAATTATATATGATTTAGAGTAAATTACTAAGAATATAAATAATTATGGTTCAATTTTATGAAAAATAAAAATTTAAGAATTAAATTGAACAAATATGAAATTACAAATAAAAATTTAAATAAATTAAACAACACACATTGATGAGGGATCAAATCAAAATAATTTTAAATTGTGAGGTTGAAATTAATACAAATAAATACTAAATTATACCCATTTAAAAAGTTATGTCCAATTAAAAAATAGAATTAAGTAATAAGTATGGATCAATTTCATATGTAGATAAAATTTGGAGGACTAAATAGAACAAATATGAAATTAAAAATATAAATATAAATAAATTAAACAACACACATTGATGAGGGATCAAATCGAAATAATTTTAAATTGTGATGTTGAAATTAATACAAAAAGTACTAAATATACCCATTTAAAAAGTTATAGGCCAATTTAAAAATAGAAATAAGTAATAAGTATGGGTCAATTTCGGATGCAAATAAAATTTGAAGGACTAAATTGAACAAATATGAAATTACAAATAAAAATTTAAATATTAAACAACACAAAAGGGATCAAATCGAAATAATTTTAAATTTTGAGGTTAAAATTAATACAAAAAGTACTAAATTATACCCATTTAAAAAGTTATGGGCCAATTTAAAAATAGAAATAAGTATGTGTCAATTTCAGGTGCAAATAAAATTTGGAGGACTAAATTGAACAAATATAAAATTACAAATAAAAATTTAAATATATTAAACAACTAATATATATATATATATATATAAACTATATTATGTATAAAGTATAAACTATATACCATGTATAAATTATAATATTATATAGTTTATATATAACTATTGAACTATATATAAACTACATAGTTTATATATAAATTATATGAATTATATGTAACTATACAATTTATATTTATATACTATGTATAATTATAAAAAATATATATTGTATTGTATAAATATATAGTATTATTATATATAATTATATAATTTATATATATAGTATATATGTTTAGGGTTTAAGATTTAGGGTTATATTTATATTTATAAACTACATACTATAATTTATATTTATATACTATATTTTATATTATTTATATAAACTATAGTTTATATTATATATTATATATATGAACTATAGTTTACATATGAACTATATATAAATATATATATATACTAAGGTTGATATTATATATGAACTATAGTTTACATATAAACTATAGTTAATATTTACATATGAACTATAGTTTACATATGAACTATATATATAAACTATATAGTTTACATATGACTTATATATATATGTATACTATAGTTGATATTTATATACTATATAGTTTACATGTGACCTATAAATATATACTATAGTATATTTATACTATATATATATATATATAAAAACTATATATACTATATAGTATAATTTACATATGAACTATATAAAAACCCTAAACCCTAAAGTATATATTATATAGTTTATTAGTATATAAACTATATAATATATATAGACTATATTGTATATTTAAATTATACATTATATATAGTTCATTAGTATATATAAACTATATATTATATAGTTCATTAGTATATATAACCTATAGTATATGATATATACAAACTATATATATAGTTCATTAGTATATAAACTATATAGTATATATAAACTATATATTAATTTATTAATCTAAACATATATTAATTGAATGAATTGAAAAAAATATATAAGGATCAAATTGAACAAATTTTAAATATGAAGCTTAAATTAATAAATTATAAATTCAAAATTTGGATTGAAGTTAAATATGAAGCTTAAATTAATATATTAAATCATTAAATTTGGACTAAATTGAATACATTTAAAACTAATAGACAACATTACAATGTCAAATGAAATTAAAAAATAAGCGGGTTTTCTCCCTCGCTTAACCCACAAGGGCACCAAAATCAGCATCATTCTCCGCGTGATGATTTAACATAACCATGGCTTCCGATACGTCTGCTTCTAACATAAAAAACCATGGCCATCATCTTTAGCCATTTCCTTCAATAATCTAATTTTTCTTCCCTTTTTGCACTCCAAAACTGGTACTTCATCTCTCTTCTCTTTCCCTTGATTGATTTCTATGTTTGTTTAGATCTTTTGGCTTCTTTTAGCTATAGAAAAGGTGTTGACTTTGTTCACTTTACGTAACTTATTTGGTTGATTGCGAATCAGTGGAAAGTTTGTTCTTTTTATTTTGATGTTCTGATCTGATATGGGTTTCTTTTGATGCTTAGATTTCTGGGTTTTGCATGAAAATTTCTGACTTTGTTTAATCGCTGGTTTGCTCAAAATAGTTGTGGAATGAGGCGTTGGATCTTTTTCGGCAGATGTTGGAGGAAGGAGTGCAGCCTAATGCTTACACATTTGTTGCTGTTTTAAGTGCTTGTGCAGATTTAGCACTTATTGAGAGAGGTAAACAGATCCATACGCACATAGTGTCGATGTCATGTTGATCAAATAGTTGGAGGTTTATTTTGAATCTTTTGAGGAACTTTTGATTTCTTGTCTCCAATGCATATTATGGGCAGAAGGTCTAACATTGAACGTGTGATTGTGTTGCTCGCACAGGGATTCTGCAGATGTGGAGGAAGAGCAAAAGATGCTCGAAGAGGTTGGTTTGGTGCAATTGTTTTGGTGTGGTTTTTTTTAGATGTTATATTTGTGTCTATTGATTTTCCTGAATGTTGTTTCAGGCAATTAAAAATGCTCGAGAGAGGGATAGAAGAACATTGTTACGAGCCGTAAGTGTCCAATTACGACTCCACATTGATTTAAGTATGAGTTTCTTGATTTAGGTTGAATTTTTCTAACTTTAAATCATGATTATTGATAAGTTCTAGTGAATCAAGCTCTGTGTTGCTTACACCTCTATGCTAATTTCTTGACATGACTCGTGAAAGAAAGAGTTAACTAAATGCTTAGAAGTTATAGAAGTCTTTCTTGAATTGGATTTACATTGATTGAGATGATATGGTTCCTTTTGGAAAGACCCAATGGTGTGCTGGTATTTGAACCTTAGATCCACAACTGCTACTGGCTGTTACCTACTTCATAAAAAAGATGTATCCTTGTTAGATAAACAATTCAGTCTGTCAGCTTGATAAGGCATGCGACTTTCTTCTTATGCCTCTCATGATTCAGTCCAGTGTTTTTGTTCAAGGAAAAAGGTAACATGCAAAATTTGCCTTCACACCTCTGCATCGGCAAGTTTAGAACTTGAGATCCAAAAATTTAAACATATGTTCTGTTCTTTTTAAGTTAATTGTTTCTTAGCTGAGCAGGATATATGTACTTGAAGTTATTCTTGATATATCAACGTTGTCAATGAACTTGGTATCTGATAGCTACTAATATGTATACCGTACACTTTGGCAAAGTAAATTACCTAAGTACGATCTTTTATTATTCCCTGGTAATTTATTCTGCCAAATGCCTTAATGCTGATCCACCTTTGCTTGTAACAGATGAATAAAAGTAGTTCCAAAAGTTCATCGAAAACCAAGGCCAACAAAGAAAATGGTAGGGTGGGTGAAATTTTTCCTTCTACATCACTTGAGGAATACGCCAAGCTAGGTAGAAAAGATGGTGGAAATCATGATGGTCAATATGACTCCAAGAATGATTGCATTGCTGACCACGATGATGATGATGAAAATGAAGATGGTGAGGATGATGCTGACAATGAAGAACCAAATGCGTAACTGAGAAGCCTGTGAATAACTGGTGAGAAAGAATCTGTGCATACATCAGAATCTTTAACATTATTTATTGACCTTTGCTCCAAGCCGTTTTCTACTCAGCTATCACTATATTAGCAGGATCTGTGATGCCCGTCCGGCTTCAACAAGTTCTTACAATTTTGTCATAAGATTAAAATTCCTAGAATGTAGTTGACTGTGATGATATTACTTGCATTTTCTCTCCTTTATCCATTAGAACTTCCTAGCTGAAGATGATACTTGGTAATTCTTGTGGCATGGATCCACTTCAGTCATTTATCTTTTACTTTTTATTTGTTTACTATTCCAAGTAACGTTTTTAATATGCAATTATTGCTTTACTTTTTAATTTACTTCAGTCCTGTAATGTGTATGTGTCTGCTTGCAAGCATCCTAACAGTTACAATCATACTTCATAAGCTTCAATTTTTTCTATTCCCAGCTAATGTTTAGAACCATCACTTCCATGAAGATTTTTTTTTTAAAAAACACCAAACAAAATTGAATCAAATCCAAAGTTGAGTGACCAACTTTTGAACCTATTTATAATTGAGTGATCAGAATGTAAAATTTTAGTTAATGCTATAACGATGAAATGATTTTTTTTTGTTACAAATCAATAAATAGAGTGATTGGTATAATTTTTTAAAGTATAGTAATCTAATATATTTTTAAAATTTTTATTTTAAAATTTTAAGTTAAGTTATACTTAAATTATTAATTAATTTTCACATTAAAGTTAATTAGATTTATGAATATTTTAACTTAATTTAATAATTTAATAAAATCATGTTCAATAAAACAATATTTAAATTTAATTTAGTGATTATAATAAAATTTATAATATAAGAATTATAAATAATATATAGAATTAGAATTATAAAAATCAAATTATAATATACAAATTATAATTAATATAAAAACTAAATTTCAAAAAGTAATCATATTAATTTAATTATCATAAGTTTATTATACATTTAAAATAACATAATTATATTAATTATAACTTATTATTTATAAGTCAGGACAATATCAGATCACTTTAACATGTCGGATCATTTACAGGTTGAGTTAATTGCAGGTCATGTTCATAACAGGTCAGGTTGAAAACAGGTCGGGTAATATCAGTTATTTACCAAGTCAATCTCGGGTTCGGGTTCGGGTTCATATCAGTCGGATGCAGTTCGGGTTCGGGTATCATATTTTCGGTTCAATTCGGGTTCAGGTCATTCTCAGGTCGGGTGCAAGTCGAGTTCAGATCCATAATTTCCAGGTCCAATTCGGGTTCAGGTCAACACCAGTTTCGACTCGAGTCGGTTTTGAATCGTCACAGCACAAGTCAAAAACAGTTTTAACTCGAGTCGATTTCAATCAGTTTTATAAGTCGGGTGAGCTTTTTACACCTAGGCGATTGCAGTGAGTGTGACATTTAGTAATTATAATGAGTGGGGGGCGGGGCGGAGGAGAAAGAAACAAAGTGCCAAATTTCATTGCCGACGCTTAACAAGACGACGCCAAAGCATCACGAGCCTACCACTTTCTAACTACCCAATAAAACAACCACTGCTTCTTGCACTTCATTTCCCTGCTTTTTCTCTTCATTTATTCTTCTATGCCAGTACTATCTAGTATTTTTTTCTTTATTTTTTTGATAAAAAAGCATTAGATTTACGTTCGGGAGATTAAAAAAGGGTGAATTTAAAATTTTACGATCCAATGGTAGTCGATGACGGTGATTAATAGTAACTGGTAATAGCAACTGACAATGATCGGTGAAAGTGATGAGTGACAATCAATGATGTGAACTTTGACTTGACTTAGAAGTTAAATTAATTTTTTTATAAAATTTAGGGGTTAAATTAGTGTTTTATGTAAAGTTTAAAGTCAAATTGACATTTTATCTAAAATTTAGAAATCAAATTTTTTAGAGGTTTAACAATCCGAGACGAAAGGAAAATAAAAATTAAATATTTATAGATCCACAATTTGCTTCCATGGTGATTCGTACAAGTTGCAGCAAATGACATGTTATTCCTCGACATGATCTCATCATAATTCGTGTACATGAATAAAGAATAAAACAAATATAATTAATAACATGGGAAATATTAGATTAAATAATCTGAATAGAAAACCATAAATATATGAATATAAATAAGTCGATGCCTGCAATTACGCATTTTCTTTAAGACATATTTTCGGTCACTCCTTGGTGCTCGAGATCTTTGGTTGGCTGTCTCTCAGGATACAACTACTGAGATCACGAACAATTCCTTGTCTTCGCCTATCACCAAAAACTAGAGAAAAAAATTCTTTTGAATTGGTTTTTGAGTTGTTTTTTAACTGTGTTTAACCTAGTAGGTTAACAAGATATTTATAGGGAGTTCACATTGTGAACAATTGGAAATTTTTGACCTAATGAAGCATTAATGAGATCAAACAATTAAGCAATTTCCAAAATTATTGTTTTGATTAAATGAACCTTTTAATATTTATCCTTTTAATTCCAAAACAGATTTTGAAAAGATATTTTCTATTTGAGGAAAATATATCATATTTGGGTTAAAATATCCGCAAGCCGAAAAAGAGCTAGACCAGTTCTGACATTCATGTTACCCACATCGTGCACGTCTGCACATTTATGAACCAACAATTGGTTCCACATTTCCTCAATAATGTTTGAATCAATTTCTCGTTCAAAGCTCCAAAATTATCAATTTTTTTTCCAAAAATCCCCCACATGAATGAAATTGGTCATTTATCAAAATCATTTTGACTTGATGTGGTGATAGACTGTACGATCGATAATTGCATAAGATAGGTAGGTGTTCTCCTTGAACATTCCCATGTGACAACATATTTACTTTATTAACTGACCAGTAGACATGATGTCCTTGAATTGTTTTGCAATTTGTGTAAACGATGATATACTTCACACAACTACCCATCTGATAAGAATTTTAGTTCTCATGGGTATGTCCTTAAAGCCGTGGACATCACCTGGTTCTGCAAGAGTTTGAAAGAACTATTCCCAATAGTCTTCTTGAAACGGCCCCACTTCACTCTCACATAGGTGACTTATGTTTCTCGACTCTTCAAAGCACACAATGGTCATTAAAAGCTTTGTTTAGCCTATACCAATTTGATCACTGTTTACATCATAGGAACAAACTTGGGATAATAAATCCCCACAGTGATCACACATGGTTTATACAATTAGGTTGTCCCTTTGAACCTAGATCTTGGGATCTTCAGTTAACAATGTAGGGTTTTCCTTCACATAAAGCCTTTCATTTCATGGGTTTTAGTCTCAATCCTTTCGATGTTTTCTCAATTTGATCTCAATATTAACCATTCAGTTAGTGAATATGCGATGTTATCCTTTGATCTTACAAAGTAAACAATGATAACTCCATTTGAGATCAGTTGTTTAATGGTATTGTGTTAATGATATATATATCTCAACTTACCATTATACATAAAGTTATGTGCTTTACCAATATATGAATATTGTGAGCACAAACTTTGGTCATTCAAGAATATCCTCCAAGAAATTATAAAGTCATTCAACTTATTCTCTAGACTTGTCTAGAGCTACAAACGCTTATTCCATTTTGGATTTGATTATAATAGTTTTCTTGAGGATTTCAACCTCTTTGTTTCAACCTCTTTGTTTCAACCTTTCGTTAAACATATAGATTTATCTTTATTGATAATCTTCAATCATCTTCCTTAGTTATATAAGAGAATATATTTTCAAAAAATGAGATATTCTTTGATTTCGTTATCGTGTTCTTGTGAATCTCAGGATTCTTTGATTCATACATAAGATGTCGATATGTCTTGCTATAATCTACATAGCCAATATAATCCACCGATTTGGGATTTTGTTTCCTTTGATAATGAGGTGATTATATTTACAAGACACTCCCACATTTTTAAGTAATTGTAGAAAGATTTTCTACATTTCCATAACTCATATGGTGTCTTGTCAATTTTTCCGGGAGAACCTTATTTAAA